AGAGGGGTAGGTATACCACCAACCAGTAATGATATGCCAAAATCTACCAATGACCCCAACGTCTTTGGTCGCCGAAGCATGGCTTTTCCGTGCTGAGGAAATCCACGCGTTGGACGTGGGCCATGGAGCTTTTGCAACGCATCACGACTGTTGGTCGACCGTCTACGGCGTCCTTCAATGCTGCCGTTCTTCGGAAGCAGTGTGATGAGATGTGATTAGTACAGCATTTTGTACAGCAGAAATCCAGGTTTTTCAGAATTTGCTTCACACTTTTGTTATAGCAAATGCTGTTTCATGTTTTTTTCAGTTAAGTTATGTAATTACTTGTTATACGACTTCACATGGAAACCACAAAGAAGACATGAGTTATCTTTGGAAATTGTTCCAAGCCTCAGGCCAGTGCATCTTTTGGACATTGGGGCATCGTTTTGGACATCTTTCAACGACTTTCGCAACGGCACCTTCAAGCAACAGCGCCTCAGATTACATAACAAGTGAGAACCAGGCTACAATGAGATGGTTGGCTTCAGTTGGCTTCAAAACACAATCTCTTCGTAAAACTGTTCCCGTTGTTCTCGATCTGCAGATTTTCATCCCAGCGCCAAAAATGATGAAACATGTCTCACCTCCTATTCCTCCTTATATCTGCAGGCTTTTTCCTTCACAACAGCGCTGAGCAGCTGCGAGAAATGCCACGCCTGGCAAAGGGCCCTGGCGATTTTGGTCAACCAAGCGCCGGCCAGAGTGGCGGTTTTCAATGCAGCCATCAGCAGTTCCTGGGACGTCTTGCGTGGCGCATGCGCAGGGTGTGTGATGGAAAGATTTTGTTACGGATTACATGAGAGTAGCAAGATAGAAGCACTGTGAATTTGCGATTAAAATATGGATGAAGCAAATCATAAGATGTATGATGATTGGCTAATATTGGCTATGTAATCAAGCAGACATGGGCCGACATGGGAATTTTTCATAGGCGCTGACATCACCCTTGCGCTGCAGACATGTTGATCCTTGATGTTATCCCAGGGATCTCGGATGGACATAACTGGTACGGGACGAAGCAGCCAGCAGGCATATGTACCGGGCCAACAGTCCAAGATCAGAAGCCTTCCATTTCACGATGGTCCCATGGTCATCGGTGGTTTGACATCCTGGTCTTGCTTCCCCTTGTCTCAATTGTTGAGCACCAAAAAGATGCACCAAAAGGGCTGTGCCTATGACTGCACCATACTGCAGGTTGCGAAAGAGGAAGACAGTGGCGAAAAGCCTTGGCTCTGTTGTTTGACATGGACCTCTTTTCTATCGAGAAGGACTGGGTCAAAATTTCGGTACACGGCAGGATGTTTTTGTTAACCTTTTGATGGAGAACTGCTTCACATTCCACAGAAAATACCAACTTTTCTTCAGAAAATTCCAGGATCTTGTGATATTCTTGAGGTCACTGAAACAAAAATAATGAATCATAATGGATATTGATTTATAAGGACACCCAAAGAGATAGAAACCTGATTTATATTGATTTGTCACGATTCGTAGATATATTTACAATTATTAAATTATTTACATATCATATAGTGGGATTTTATTCTTATTTTACCTGGCACAGTAATTATATAATGTCTCATAAAGTGACTGAGATCGGCATATGGTAACACACACACACACAGAGCAAAGTTTATATAATCAAGTATGTCTTTTCTGAACATACTGTATCAACTATAGCTTGAAATGGGACGTCAAAAGCACGTCGAGCTGTTTGCAATAGTTCAATCACAGTATATACTCACAATGATAGTTCTACAGGACAGATGAGAAACCCAACAAATTGTGTACTTGGTAGTTCATAACCTCAGCTACGAGTGCATTAACCCTGCTGCTTATCCTATTTATAATCAGGGACATAACCTACATGCTAAGTAGGGTGAGCCATGGTGAGCCACCAGGTAAGGATGTTCACCAGTTCGACAACCCATTTTTGGTGCAAGCCAGGTCCTGATCCACAGCACAGGATGTCATCAGTTTAAACTCTGCTATCAGCTGCTGCGAAAAATGTAGCCCCTTTGGCAAGATTGGCTTTGCCTCTGATTTTCAATATCAAAACGGCATAAAATGGCTTTGAAACGAGGATGAAACCGCGGATTCCTTGATGAAGAGATAGTGAGTTGGAAGGATGGCAGATGCGTGGATGCAATTCTAAAGGAACATAGTTGAGGATTGGTACAGACTCCAATGGCATATATACAGACGGGCTCTGTTGCTGTGTTTTTGCTGGCAAGGTCGCTGGTGCGAATCTCTTGCTCTTCTTCATGATATGCGCTCCTGGGTAGATATGATGACGGACGGTGAGCCAGGACGCTTACATTCATCATAATATAAGGGACTCAGGGGTGCATTATATACAGTATTACATAGCAAAAAGAGAAGGTACATATCCGGAAGCACAAAGTGATCATGTTTGTCACTAGACATCACTAAGCCATCCAGTTTTGAGGTTGATGTTCTTGAGCCATAGCCAAAGAAAAGATGTGTTGCCCCAAATTCCGAAAGGCGAGGAAAAAAGCAATGGATGATGTTCAACTTGAGTGGTCTCACGTGTCTTCTTTACATGTTCAGTTTTTCTATGCTGTTCATCACCAATTGGGTGATCTTCGCATATCTTTGCTCATATCTTGACTGCAGCAATATTGGGATTGGGGATTGGCGAGCAGCCCAACCATTATCACCTGTGCCTATTTAAACCTCTTGCTGCTGGCACATCTGAGGTTTCCAAGAACTTTTTCCGGACATGTTTTCCATCAACTCAGCATTGCTCAGTTGCAGAAATGCGCACAGGCGCCCTTTGCCCTTTGTGACAGGACCGGTCGTTTAAGTGTCGATAACCTGGGATTGAAATGGATTTTCCAGAGGTTACCCTCTGGTAAACTAACATAGCTATTGAACATGGCCCATTTATAGATGATTTTCCCATTAAAACCTCCATTTATAAGGGATTTTCCATGGCTATGTTAAATAACCAGATGGTATAGTTCATGACATAACAGTCTTTGTTGATCGGCCTTTGGTTGGCGGAATTGACAGGTCCTGTCGAAAGTGTTTTCAAATGTTCCGTGGCTCATATAGTTGGCGGAAAATAAGAACCCCTCATAGTTCCTGAGAAGGGACTGAACCCCTCAAATCATTCTTGAGATACTTTCCAACCGAAGCTACTGCTGGATCCAGAAAAAAAGGGGTTGGCAGGGTGGCAACCGATCAGTTCAGGTGGCGCGAAGCATTGGATCTTTTCAATTGTGTCAAGCAATTTTCGTTGCAAGCAGATGCCCTTTCGTGGGATTTCGTTTTAGCTGCTTGTGAAGACTCTTGGTGAAGGAAAAGCCATGAAAAGCCACTCGGGATCACATCAGCGACGAATTGTTGACACTTAGAAAGGATTGATGCTTAGCCACGCACACGCAGGTTTTTGGAATGTTTCACGATTGGATGGGTGCACAGTATATAATATCCCATTGAAACACATGTCAACCTCTAGTGGATCCGTTTCTATCACCATCGGGGCAAAGATCCCACCTTTCTGCCATCACACGACCCGATGTGCACTCCATGTTTGGATCAACAACGAAAAACTGAGGAGTGTGGTCAGTGGATGCAAGCAAATGCCTTGCTCTTGAAGTTGCGGGAACTTTCGGACTTGCAGTTCTTGAGGCCGTTTGATACTGGCTACTCGGCAGATGAGCATGAATATCAACACATTTGTTGCAAGTCTGATGGGTGATTTTGAAGATGTCATCGTATTTGTTTCTTACTGGCATGATGATGCTCCATGGCCCATATAGCCAATATGTTCAGTGTTTTTTTTCCTATTGAACCACTTGCATCTACTTCGATTCCGGACTGTTGTGATATTCAGGATATTCAGGTGGTATAGAAACCACTACTGGAATCTACTAGTCACAATGATCACTTGGCATCAGGGGAATTATAATGAATTATATAGTGTTATTGTTTTTAACACTGTATCACATCTATTTATAGTATCACTAGTAACTTGTAACAGTAATCCCCATAAAACCATTGTCCATAGTATTTCTAATTGTCCAACCACTATATCATATCAACCCGATTGTTACCCAAAAATGTGACCCAATTATGCTTCTTCACTATATTCACTACCATTAAACAACTAAACAATCACATCTAGCCCATTATGAAAATCGCATGTCCCCTGCGTGGTTCCGCTGGGTGAATTTGGGCAGGAAACCTCCATATTTATCATATGTTATTGTAAAAACCATGGTTTCCGGTTAAGATTTTCCCTTAAACGAATCCAATGAATACTCCATACACCAAGTTTTCACCGTGGTACGTCGAGTTTGGTGAGCCGTTGTGGTCACTGAGGATTTTCGCGCAACTCTCAGACTTTGACGTTTTCATCTGCGGTTTGTCAAAAGAATGCAGGAACATTGCAGCACCCTTGAATATTGTATTTTGATGTATATTGTAATATATATATACACTATATATTTATATGATATGATATGATATGATATACTGTATGTATTATTTTTACACATATAGTTATATATAATTATAGTTATATATATACAATTATAGTTCCTCTACGTTTTATTTCTAATTATCTTATGTCTTGTATAAAGTATACTTGTATTATGAATATCGCACTAGTTCGTCTTATTCGTTACACATTGTCCACGAAGAGTTGCCAACTGTCGTGCATAGCTGCCGTTGATTGACCAGAGAGAATGGACCAAGTTGATTCTCTATAGTTCTCTATAGTTAGGTTTTAGTTCACCATGTTATATATATAATTTGAATTCACGATTGCCACAATTTATAGTTGATTCTTGTAGGTTTTCACTTCTCTGGTGATTTGACCATTGAACATTGCCATTCATAGTTGATTTACCCATTCAACAGTGGTGATGTTCCATAGTTGGTTCCATGTTTCACCGCCCAACTTTCCATGCCGTCTCCTGTCGGCTGAAGCTTTTCACTGGGGGGCCGGGATCCACAATGTTTGGTGGACGGATTTCCAAGGTGCCGATGGATTGGGATGGAGTTTCGGTGAGTTGTTGAGCCAATTTGCTTATTGAAAGCTACGAGGTGGTGCCCCCCAAAAAAGATGAAAACCATGGTGCTTTAACAAAGAAACATTGTGATCTAACCAACAAAAATGGCATTAGAATGGAGATATAATGGTATATGGTGGTGGTCGAAAAGGTTAGCCAACTTGGTGCAATGAACTCAAATAAATAAACTTAGCTCAATACCATGTGGGTGCTACCCACTTTGAACTTTATAGTGATGGTCTAGGGACCACTTGGCAATTTATATCTATAAAGTTAGGGCCCCACCTGCTGGAATTCACAGGGAATGTAAACATATGTACACATGGTAGATACATCGACGTATTTAATGGGGTTATATATATCAACCAGCACCACCTTGTAGGAAGAATCGCCATTTTTGGAGCTAAAAAAAATCTAGGCACTCGTTTCCAGAGCTGCTGGATGTGTATTCATCAAGCATTCCCCAGGCTATATAGAGTTAGTCTTTATATATATATATACATACATTAGTGAGGTTCCAACCGTAAAAGAGGGGGATGTGTCGGTCTACTCAACAAGTCCAGATTGATCCTTTTTTATGCAGGGATTGCTGCCGAACGGGCCATTGATGACTGGCTGGTGGTTGCTATAGGTTACTCCTATATGTGATGCTTGTTCATTTTCTCATAAACAATGCCGTTTCGGGCCATTTCGGGGTATCATCTATTTTCAAACATATACATATATATATATATATGTATATATATATATTTATATGTATATGTATATGATTATGAATATGAATATGTATATGTATGTATATGTATGATTATGTATGATTATTTATGTAAATGTAGTATATATACATGGGAACCTGGGATGATTATCCCAGTTGACCAATACGTTTGTTGCGAAACCAACAGGCAATGGCTCCTGCAGACAAGGCAGCAAAGGACTGGCAGTTTTAAGCGGATCCGGAGAGTGTGTTGTTTTTCTTGAGGGCCAAGTCCAACTGGTGGGAGGAGTTCTGAGCTTTGAACTTGAAAACATATATTTATATGTATTATACGTGTTATGATGTGATATATATATAACAACGAGATGATTTGGATATTCCCCAGATACTGACCGTATGAGCTTCTCCTTTGGAGGAATTGGTACCAAACTCCTTTTGGAAGCTACCAAGATACGAACTTGAAGGTATCAACATGTGATCCAATTTGAAATTATCTTGGCTAACGTGGGTTTTCCAATGATTTCAAAAGAATGACAGTACGTGGGATGACTTTCCAAATTGACTCACAAGCGTAATGTGGCATGAAACCCAACAGACAGGCCAAGATCTTCTAAATGGAGGTCTTCATGGGAAACTGTTCTATAAATGGAGCTTTCAATGGGAAAATCATCTATGAATCTATCAATGGGAAATCATGGTTAGTAAGGGAAATCATCCCCAAATGGCCTTAATTCAGGTTGGTGAATTATTATAATTTACCCAGATGAATGGAAATTATTCCGGTGTGAGAATTGATCAGTGAAGTGGGCGCCCGTTGTGGCCCGTTGCCTCCCGGATGTGCCTACTTGATCCGTTTTTGAGTACAGAGCCTAAGCATCAAGAGAATTAGACTTAGTCTAAGAATCAGATTATGACTCAGCGTCTATCATATATACACATATCAATATAGTGAAGCATTGGTTTTCCATTTTATGTCAGAATCCAAGAATTTACAATAAAAGCAATTGGTGATGGCTCGAACCCGAACGTGCCCAAACCGGTTTCTAAAGCATCAGATTGTTGCTATCCAAGATTGTCTCATAGTAAAATAGGCCTGTCAATACAAACGAAGTTGACTACTGAATAGTGCATTAATCAGGTATTCATCACTATTAATCACTATTCACCACTATTAACCACTATATAATCACTAGTAGTCACTATAAATGATCGTTTGCTGCACATTGCAACAGCAGTTGCACCCGCAGGCTGCGGTCGGAGTCAGTCCAAGTTTTTCAGGGTGCGGGTCGAAATTCAAAGCCTTCAACCAGAGATGTTCTTGATATATGTTGATGATACTGTGGATGGAAGAATTCCTGCACCAGTTGTGGTTTATCCCATTATTTCTCGGGTTGAAAAACCATCCAAGGTGGTGCAGGATTTCTTCCATCCACCGTATGTTATGTGCCATTATCCATTTTTGGGTGCGTAAAAAACTCAAAAGCAAAACATCATTGGTTGAAATCCATGTGAACTTGCTTGTCAAACAACACATAATTTGGCGAAATCCACATAATTTGGCGAATTCCACATATGAATATGCAATAGTCCATTTGCAATTTGGCAATAATCCAAATATGAATATTCAATAATCCAAAACATCATTTGCCAAAATCCATAATTTGGCAATAATCCATTTGCAATTTGACTTCGCGAAAATTGGACACTCAGCGGAACTTTCAGCGCCGACTGAGGAGGTCACTCCATTCTATCAGGGCCCAGTTGCAGTTGGGATGCCCAGCGATCGGAGAAGCATGTGACATGGAGCATTGGTTGTTTTTGTTTCCTTAATCATCCAGTTTCTGTGGCGATATGTCTATATATATATACATATGTGAATGTGTCAAGAAACCGCCAGATATCCAGATATCCAGATTTTACATACTCATCAATGATCACTGCATACGGATATAGATGAGTATCCCCTACATTCCATTTGTTTAGATGCTGTGCTTTGGGGTCCAGGTCTAGTGAGGTCAACCCCAAGCAGGGCAGCACTGTCCAGCTGCATCTTTGATGATTCATAGATGGCCTTGATTTCCTCATCCTCATCCTCATCCTCCTCCTCCTCCTCCTCATCATCATCATCATCATCATCAGTCATCATCAGTCATCAACATGTATCATCATATGCCATCATTTGTTATCATATGTCATCATATGTCATCATATGTCAGCAAATGTCAGCATATGTCAATTTATGTCATTTTATGTCATTAAATGTCATCATCGGCATCATCATCATCATCATCATCATCATCATCATCATCATCATCATCATCATCATCATCATCATCCATCATTCATCATTCATCATTCATCATTCATAATTCATAATTCATAATTCATAATTCATCATTCATCATTCATCATTCATCATCATATATCGTCATATATCGTCTTATATCGTCGTATATTGTCGTGGAACACCATATATCAACTTCACAAATTATTAAAAGTAAAAAGTTCCTTTGGCCGGATGGATGCCTCCATAGCAGCCTGAGGCATTCATGGCCAAGCGCCACCTGACGTGGGGACTCTCAACTCGCGCGTCTAGTAGCCCCCTTTGTTTCCTGGAGAAACCGAAAAAACACCTGGTTGAAGGTTTCGTTTTTGTGGGTTTTATTTCGGTTGCTATGTTGGTATGATGATGTTTGCAAAAGATCACATAGCATGTTTTTTTTAATTATCCACATGATTTTTTCCTCCTATTATCCAAATGATGATCCCCATTGTTGATTGTTAAATCACTTTAAATCCCCATAGAAAATCTCCTGGAACATCCTAAAACTATGAAAATATGAATTATAAGTTTTGATATTCCACTAATATCTGGAAATTTAACAGGTTGCTATTGAAAATGACCCAGTCGAAATAGTGAATTGTCCCATTAAACATGGTGATTTTCCAGTTCGCTATTTCTAGATATTAGTGGACAATTCACTAGTATGTGGTATCCCCATGGCTATGATAATGGCTAGGGATTGTCCCATTAAAAATAGTGAATATGTTCGTATCCCTAGTTACATCCCGCCCCAGGTGTTTCTGGATGTCTAGTTAACTCATCCCCCAGGCGCATGCCAACCATCTCCTCCGTGAGCACGGCGGACTCCGGTAGTGTTTGGGGAACCCAGTGGATGTCAGTTATTTTTTGGAGGGGATATTCTATAATTACCGAATTATATATATATATACATCAATATATATATATATATTTGTGCTGAATTAGCAACCATAGTGATGATGTGTTTCTTTCCTATCATTTTGCTTTTTTTTATAATGACTATATATGGTGAGAAAACAACAATGCATGCATTTAGAGAGATTTTTGGAGATTGGGACTAAGAGAATCTTGGGGTCGATAATTTCACCCGTAAGTGTTGCCAACTCGCCAACAAAACGGTGAAAAGATGAAACCCATTTCTGAAATTTCACCATCCTGGGCTAAAATTCTCTACTTTGAATGATTTTTTTAGGTGTGAAAATTCAGGGCGATAGATCCACAGATCTATCGACCACCCCTCCTGGTGCGAAAAAAAAAAAACGTTGCAGCAACTTGATGGGATTTTCGCAGCACCGTACGACCAGTAGACCATTAAAAAATGTTGGTTCAAATTCTGATGAGATCTCAATTCTCAATGTATGAGTTTTCCATGGTATATTATGGTATTCAATGGTATATTATGGTATATTACCTTAAATCACTCAAATCTGATGAAAAAGTTGATTTGGTTCAAAGACTTGGCTACGTAGTCATGATCTTTCACGTCTCATTCACAACAATTTCTTTTGGCCACTAAGAACCTACCAGTCAAGAATACCTTCATCGATCTTGACATTGGTGCGGGCACTCGGTTGGCGAGGTTTCCTGTCTGGAACTCATATCCATCCCCATCATCCCCCAAAGAGCCGGTTCTTTAGATCTCAGATATTGGTTTTTGATGTTGAAATTGGGGATGTGTTATTACTGTTTAACGAACATTGTTGTTTTGGATGATGAAACGAAAACATTGGGATCGCAACAATTCTCAACACAAAATCCTAGAGCAAATCATCCAATGTTTGATAAGATATACTGTATCAATCGGGGATGGAGCGCCACAGCGACAAACAAAAAGATGACAATTTGTTGAGTTTGATTTCGTGGTGGATGCTTTTCAAAATTGATGGAAAAGGTTTGTTTTTTTGTTTTAACAGGTGATGAAATTTGGTTTATAATATCCAGTTGAGTCTATGGAAACCCATCATGGAAGTGTTGGAACATGTTTCACTTTTTCGGCCTTAAATAACGATGGACACTATGTCCCATAGGAATCCATAGGAATAGATAAATTACCCAACCTAGCCCCAAAAAATATATAGTGTTTTCAATAGCTAGTCATGACCACATCATTCTTGTAAATACTCTTGATCTCCTTGCTAGTGGTTCAGTTTCAGGGACTTCCTATGGCAAACCCGTGTTGATTTCATACAAAGCAAAGGCAGGTTGCTTTGAATCCATCATAGAGGCGTTTACAGTTTATGTGGCAACCTCTACAAGCCGAGTACAGTGTGCTTTTGTTGTTTTACTCAAGATTTTGATTAATCCAAGTCATGTATAGTAATCAAACGGCTCTGCATGGCCTGTTGCTGATCCTTTTCATGACTTTGGTTTCACTAAGCCATAGTAAGCCCCAAAAGATCACATCAATGGAATAAAACTTAGCCTCTTAGCAAAATGAAGGGGACATCCGAAATATGGAAATTTTCCAGATCATCTCCAAAATCAACTTGAGCATAACTATCATCATAATTTATACATCCAAAAAGTTGATTTGGTACATAACTTACATAACAAGATCATCTCCAACGACGCCCAGCACTTCGCCGGCGCAACGTTTTTTTTTCCAGGTCGACCACCATCCCTGGAGGGATTCTTCAACGAAAGGCTGATTCGCTCTGCACCAGGGAGTCAGGTGGAGGCGAGGGCTCTGGGCAGCTGAATTCATGGGTAGCCGAGTTTTTGTTGCAGAAATCCCATGGAAAGTTGTGGATCATGGGCATATCATGTTAGTTTTAGTATGTTCTATAGTTTTAAAATGTTTTATATAGTTTCACTCAAGATATGATATGATTTTGCATGTGCTGATTTGCTGAGGGATGATAGAAACATTGGAACAGTCCCATAAGATCCTTGAAGACATGTCAATGTACATCTACAGTATTGGGATTATTCACAATACTCACAACACATGACAAAACCTCAACATGTTCAGTGTGGAAAAGGTCAAAAGGTCCGAACAATATTAAGAGTTGTGATTCCCCACTTTAAAAGGTACCCTCTGGTAAACGTTTACATAACTATGCAAACTCACCATGTTTCATGGGAAAATCCACTATTTCTATTGCAATGTTCAATAGCTAACTCTTAAATTACCAGAGGGTACTGGTTTCAACCGAAAATCGTAAGTACGGCGTGATTTCCCTGCGATGTCCATGGCTCAACGTCATCTCGATGTCGTTGGAGGATCAGACGGAGGAGCCTCTGAAGGAGGCAGATACTCCGCCGGTGATTTGCTTGGTCCGGGACCCAAGGGTTGCCATAAATCTGGGTAAATTATAACGACCTCACGTTGCGACCTCACTGGAATCATGGTTAGTAAGGGGAATCATCCCCAAATAGCCTTATTTCAGGTGAAATATTACAATTTACTTAGATAAATGGATAAATGGTGGGTACCCAATAGCTGGATGGTTAGAATGGAAAATCCATAAATGGATGGATGATTTAGGGGTACCCGCTTTGTAGGAAAGCTTCATTTTTTTCAAAGGCGGGTAGTGCCAAGGGGTGTGGGCCTGACGATTGGCTGTTTGACACTTAAGGTCACACAGAACAGATCCAAGAAACGATTAACGTTGTGGACTTTGTGAACCACCCATTCAATGCAAAATATTGAAACTAATATGGGTCGCAAAAAATATACACTATATATCACTATATTATATATATATAACATGAACCAATCCCATTGTTTGTTTTGCCAGTTTATCAGCTTTCTTGTTTTTTTACGGTCTTACAATTATAGCTGTCCCAGACATTCTGAAATTTATATCAATTGATTCTATAGGTATATTTACAGTATTTATTTTGCTGTGAATTTTATATGGAGGTTTCTTAAAATGGGGGTACCCCTATAAATCATCCATTTCAATTGGATTTTCCATAATAAACTATCAATTTTGGAGTACCCCCATTTATGGAAACCCCCATAATTATGTTTGTTCGTTTTTTGGGATGACCCCCATATATCCGTTATGCTCAACCCAACGGCCGATGAGCTGCTAAGGCAGCTGCACTCTCGTTCACAGGTGCCAGCCGATGATTTTAGTGCGTTTACTTTGTTCATAGTGAAAATGACTAGCTGAAATGTTTGTTTGCCAAATTGACGAAAAAAAGAAAATGGATATGTTTGATGGTTTGAAAATTGAAACCAGCTACAAAATGATAGGAAATACAATTGAATACAGACATATACTGTTCATAGAATCGTCCCCTTTATTTCCCCTTGCCCGGTTGCCCATGCGGCAGGTAGTAGTACAAAAAAGCCGACCTACAGCATGGGTTCAGAAGGCGATCAAGGGATGGCCATGGCCGGCCGATCGTGGAAAACTCCCAAACTGCTGTGGAAAGCTGGAAAATCTCTGAGCCAAATCAGTGATTTACTGTAGATGTTACAATTAACACTTATTAACACCCAAGAAAAATCAAATGATTAGAGTTGTTAAATGCAGTTATGAACATCAGTGAACATCCCAACATGTCCACTTTGATCCTTTTCGGAAGCCCTTTGGGAGCTGCATTTCTTCGAAGTCTTGATGCCCAACTCATGGAGGTCATGGTGCCCGAGAATGTCATCCATGCGCATTTTACTGGAAGGACGCGGCGTTGGGCGGCGTTGGGCGACTGAGCTTTTGTTAAAATCGAATCTTAAATGTGGATACAATGAGACATGAATTTGTAGTCATTTAACCCATATTTAAGGCTTAAGGCACCATTTAAGCCACAATATGTCACCCGTATATGGAAGAGACTCTGTAGCCCAATGGTACAAACTATAGGCAACTTGAGGGGAATGAGTTCCACTGGCATTGGCATCCGCGAATTTCACTTGGGACATTTCCCCAAAACAAGTTCAATTTTCCTCCCGCCCAAACAACATGTTATGATATTATTGTATATATACAGTATATATATATATTTATTTTATTATGTACTACACTATTATGTGTTATAGTATTATATATATATATTATATTATATATAATGTAATATTTCGCACAGACCCCGTGGTTTGCCCGGACTGCAACATTGAGGATTCCCTGTCGTCGAACACGAGAGAAGAGAAATTGCAGAAAATACTGAGTATACGCAGTGCTTTCTGCTTTCGGATTCAGAGTTTTCAGGGTTTTAGGGTTTAGGGTTCGTCGTCTGGTAAATACCAAAACACTGGCCCTGCGCAGGTTTTTGAGCATGTCAAAGGATAATATTTGAACTCAATTCTAAACCTTACGGGCAAACCATGGGGTCTCGCTGTAATATTATATATACTGTACTATTATATTACACATAAATATTGTAATTTTAATATATATATATACACATTAATATTATATTCATGTACTGTAATATTATATTGCACATACATGTTGTAGTATGATATGTATATATATATATTATTGTAATATTATATGTATAGTATTACATTTCATGAGAACTATATATAAGATTAAATGATTATATTTATAATATTATTGTTATAAGATTAAATATAACATATATATATAATGTTTTATACATTCATATTTATATATATATACACATAATCTTATTTTTTCTTTATGTGTATATATATATATATATATATTACCCTCTGGTAAATAAACATAGACCCTGAAACTAGCCAAGTTTTAATGACAACTAGTCTTCCAACCCCTATCTGCCAGGGTCTATGTTAATTTACCAGAGGGTACAATTATTACATCTGTATATATATATATATATTTATTTATTTATTTACATGTCTATGTTCCATTGGAATTGTCCAGCCATTCAAAAATCCCAGAATCCACTGCAGATCCTCAGGACAAGGGATGTAGCAGTGGTGCTGATTGCAACTTTTGCCACCTCTGCAACCAAGGTGCCGCTGGGTGCAGTCCTGGATAGTCCAGGGATTGGTTTTGGTGATTTTTTCATTGGATTGATTTAAGGGAAAACCATAGGAAAACCATGGGAAAACCATAGGAAAACCATATGTCAATGGATTGGTTTAAGGGAAAATCTACAGGAAACCATAGATTTTCCCATTAAATATGGGGTTTTCCTGTAAATTTTCCCTTAAACCAATCCATTGATGGTGTCCATTTTTTTTTGGTGCTGAGGACCATGCCAGCCAAAAGTATCATACCCTCTGGTAAACGTTTACGTAACTATGGAAAATCACCATGCTATTAATGGGTAAATCTATGTAAATCTTCTATTTCTATGGCAATTTTCAATAGCTATGTTAAAATTTACCAGAGGGTCAGTTTTTTTTCTTTTCTGGACGGAGATCGACATTTTGAGAAGTTAACCCACATTTTGAGAAGTCGAAGAGTTCCTACGATGGTTCCTGCGTTTCCGCACGGGATCAATAAATCAACGTTCGATGGCTTGTGTCAAATCTTGTTTCCATCGTACCTGGAATGATTATTGTTTTTTGTTGGGGGGGAAAAACACAAGGATACCCTCTCGGTATCGCTTGAGTCGCCTTTTTGGAGCTGTTGCTTGATTTGAGGATTTTCCTGCAACCCTCAGTTCAAGGTGAAATAAACTGGCGTAACCTGGATCCGTCCCAATGCCTAGTAGCTCATGTATCCAGGTGAGAAAAAGCGGCGACAGAAGGAGAAGCGAACTGCCGGAGTCTCAGCATTGGCGAAAGACCCTTCGATGAGGGTCATCGGACTAACAAAACTGATGATTTACTGTTTAAATTTAAGTCACTTAAACCACTATTGATGGCTATCTTGAACATATCGAACATATCGAACATATGGAATATATTGAATATATTTAATGATATGTATAATATATATATAATATATTACATTGTTTGTACAGGTTGGATATGCCTATGAACAGTGGTTCCATCATTTACATCCCTTATATACAAATTCACCATGAACCCAGCCAGTATATAACATGGGCTTCCATGTTGAGCTTTTTTTGGGTTTTTTCATCAGCCAATTCATGGAATCAGCTTCCAGCGAAGATGATGCGGTTTTTGTTGTGTTCTTTCCTGGGTGAAACATCAAACAGAAGTGCGGTATGTTCAATCAGTAATTTTTTGTTCCCAAAACATCATAGACTTAAAGATATACCCTCTGATTATTTAACAGTTTGCCATGGTATAGATGGCCCATTTATAGATGGTTTACCTATTCAAAATGGTGATTTTTCCATGACAATGTTAAATAACCAGAGGGTATATATATATAAGACATTATTAAATCACGTACTAACTGAACTTCTTTTAAGATCTTTTAAGTAGTTCACTAGGCATGTGCTTTTTGTGTAGATTGTCAAAGTCTTCATCCCCGAGTCACCCAACTTGTTGGAGCATATTGGATTTTGTTGGTAAATGATGTAAAAAATCATTTACCCTCTGGTAATTTAACATAGCTATGGAAAATCACCATTTTTAATGGGAAAACTCACTATAAATGGCCATTTTCAATAGCTATGTTAGTTTACCAGAGGGTATATATAAGTTCATTTCAGTTTATTGGAGCTTATTGGCAAACATGATCGAACAAAAAAAAATAGATTTATTGGAGTTGATTGGAAACATGATCGAACAAACACATTTATAATCATTTATAGATTGAAACCAGAAATCGATATCTGGCTAAATTTGATCACGACCTCACATCGCGACGTCACTGGAATAAATGGTTTGTAAGGGCAACTATCCCCAAATGGCCGACCTCTCCAGGTTTGTGAAGTTTTGTAATTTACTAATATATATATATATATATATCTGGGTAAATTTGATCACGACCTCACTGTTCTCCCTCACTGGAATCATGGTCAATAAGAGGAATCATTCCCAAATGGCCGAACTATTCAGGTTAGTGAAATATTGCAATTTACCCATATATATATATATATATACATATATGTATATATCCATATATCCATATATATATATGATGATGATGATGATGATGATGATGATGATGAAAATATGGTGTATCCGATGTATATATATATATAATGGATATACCAGTATCCCCAAGTATTGTAATTTACCGGTATATCCATATGTCCATTTTTTTTTGGGGGGGTAACATACCATGATTGCCAAATCATCGATTGATGGTGAGTTAAATGCCTATTTTCCAAGTTACCATCTGGTAAACGTTTACATAATCAAACTATAAAAGGTAAACGTTTACCAGATGGTAACTTGGAAAATAAGTAAATCACCACTTTGTTTAATGAAAAATCTTCCAATTAACTTTTAAAGATTCCATTTTCTGGAAAATCACCACTTTTTTTAAAAGGTAAATCACCTATAGTTGGGTCATCTTCCATAGCTATGTTAGATTACCGGAGGGTAACTTCCTTTAACCATCATTTGACCACAAAAAAAAAAACACTATTAAGCCACGATTATACCTGTTAGTTAGTCATTATCAGATGGAAAATCACCACTTTTAATAGGTAAATATCGGCAAATCACCTCTACTGGTTGGTGGTTTGGAACATGAATTTTATTTTTTGCATCTATTGGGAATGTCATCATCCCAGCTGACTCCATGATTTTTCAGAGGGGTAGGTTGAAACCACCAACCAGCTATAAATGGGTCATTTTCCATAGCCATGTGGGTGTGTCTGAAAATAGTGTACCCCTAAACCCAATGGTTAATGAATTTAATGATCATTATCCCTATTAAATGGCTATTTGTTTGGGAATATACCCTATTTTCAGAGAAACCCATGTTGGATGACCGGAGGGCAAATCCAATGATCAATGCATTTTTTCACCAAGGTCTGGCGTAGCATTGACCGCGTTCGCCAAGCCTTTGCCGCGGCGAACCACCAGTTTTGGAGCTCAGAAATGGTGGGAATTTTAGGCTGACCCCCATTGATACAATGTGAGGCCCCCCCAGTTATAAGTTGGTTTATAAGCCCCAGTAACTATAGTATACTATAGTTATAAATACCATAAACCATAGTTATTGGACTTTTAAATTATAAACCAACTTAGCTATCTTGGGGGCCTCACATTGTATCAAAGCTTTCAATCATGTAAAAGAAATATCATGAATGTTGATATTCATCTATATTTGATGATAACATATTTTATAAAATCAATTTACCATGATGTTTCCATTTGATGGTAAAATAATGACATAATTGATGATTGTTTACCAACAGACCCTGATTTTGCATGATTTTATCATCACATGTTTGTTTTTTTTCACCACAATGAATGGGGATATCATGGGGGAGTCCTAAAGTGGGGGACCTAAAGTCATCCAAAATTGGTCATTTTGAATGGGGTTTCTGCAAGGCCTTGGGACTTCCAAATGGCAATGTTGATAGGGAGCCTTGGATTTCAGGGGTACCCCAGTTTCTGGACCCAAATATGGATTCACAGCCTGAGTATCTGGATTGCTATCCAATATGTATACTGATATTGGGATACACTGGGAAATCCATCAAAACAAATCAATAAGTTTGGTATGAGTCAATACCCTGGTTCTCACACCATGCCTGCTGTGGCTCTTGTTCATCCTCCTCATTAGGATGACCCTCTAGCTATTTTCCATGGCGTTTCTTTGCAGTTTTAGACCCACTAACTTGAGGATCTCATATGGCAATGGATCAATCTACCTATAAATACCCATCTTCCGGGGGATGAACATGCATAAATCCCAGCTATTTTGATGTGAACAGAGGGGGTACAAAGGTTTTGCTCCATTCCCATATCACAAGACTGGGATTGGCGACCTAACAGCCGGAAGTTGTTTGGGATGCTGTCACCGGTCGAGATTTCCCCACATCTTTGTGTGGGGTTCTTGTTTTTGGTTCTGCACCTCCGCCTCTCCGCCGCTCCGACTTGTCCACACACAACTTGTCCACACACACCTTGTCAACATGCAAGTTGTCACACAACTTGTCTACACACAACTTGTCCACACACGACTTGTCCACACACAACTTGTCCACACACCGTGGCAGGCGTGGCACTTGGTGACATCCATCGTGGCAGGCAAGGCACTTGGTGACATCCACCGTCACTTTGGCGTGGCAGGCGTGGCACTTATGGGACTGGGCTGGTTTTAGTGGCACGCTTGTCCACACACACCTTGTCCACACACAACTTGTCAGAACGTTCCACACAACTTGTCCACACACAACTTGTCGACATACATTTGTTGCACATGCCAATCCGTCACCATCTCTTTTCTCTTTCCCGCATTTCCCATCCCATCTTTACCTTTCTTTTGCCAGTTATTGGAAGAAGTTGACATGTGGGGTTATCCGGTCCTTTAATTGGTTCCTTTTTTTCGCGGCCATCTATACCAGAATTGGTTTATGTTTTTTTTTTCCAGGGAAAAGTTGTCTAAAACATTCAAACCCGTCTTTCCAAACTCAAAATCGAAAACGTTTCTCCAGTGAAGATGATATGCAATCCAATTGGTTTCCCACAACCCTTTACTTCACCAATCCATGGAATCTTTGTGGCATCCGCATCCACATTCCTCAGCCTCAGGGTTGATTGAGTCCCGTACAGGTTGCATCCTCAGCATCGATTGCCGAGAATTGTTGGATGAACAATTACAAATTTCATCAAGAAAACTATAGGGATTTAGTCATAAGAAATCGGGATTTAAGTAACAAACATTGTTGTTTTTCATGGGATAATCAGGGGAGAATCATGGGTATTAATTCGGATAGATTGTAGTGTGATGTCACTGTAGATGGTGGTTGGGCAGGGGAAACATCCCCAAATGGACGTTATTCAGTTGCAGGGGAATCAAAATTCAGTAATCAGCAGTAATTCACCCACAGATATGGATTTCTCAACTCCATTTACAGGGCGGGATAACCCCATGTGCAGCATGTATGATAAATAGTTCTCACCTGTCAATTTGAAGGTACCCTTTGGTAAATTAACATAACTATGGAAAATCACCATGCTATCAATGGGTAAATCCACGAGCTAAATCACGATTTTCAATAGTTTTGTTAAATTACCAGAGGGTAATGGTTGGAATAAATCTTAGGTAATTGTTCCATGCATGGAGCATATGGATTTTCTACATGGCCAGCGGTTCCATGGAGAGAAAAGTGCCGGGCTGTGCAAAGCGGGCTGCGATCCGATGGGCGTACACTGAAAGTGCACTTCCCGGCTTCGCCCTCCAAATACCCACTGGTAAACATACAAAAAACTATGGAAAATCACAATTTTTAATAGGTAAATCAACTATCAATGTGCCATTTTCAATAACTATGTTTGTTTACCAGAGGGTACCACCCAACTCCATGTTTGTCCATTTTGAAGGGTACAAATGGAGGGTCTAGATGTCTAGGTCGATCATGATATAGATCCATGCTCATTCTCTGGAAAGTCCTCCTTCCAAGTTGCCCAGGCCCGGCACAGGAGTGGCCCAAATTGGCCCAGCTGCGGGACGCACAAACGGCTTGAGTCGCGTTGTGCGCGCGCAAAAGTCGCGCGGAAGACACCAGGTTTAGCGTTCCGCAACTTGGCACAACTTGGCGGCCCAAGCTCTGCAACTGAAATGGTGACGACTAGCCAACAAAGGTATTGGTATAATTATGTCAAGTTAGGATTACTAAACGCCGCGGTATTAATCAACCCCCTCTGCCCAAAAACATGTAATTTAAAAAAGGTGGTCCCCCAAGATTAATAACACCCCCCGATTAAAAAACAACCAGTGCTGAAATCATTTTTTTATCCAACATGTTTTATTTCCAATTCTATTTATTTCCAATTATTTTTTTCCCCACCTGCCAGGTGAGGGTTGTTAGATTTTATGTCAGTTGCCTCCTCCTCCTCCTCCTCCTGCCTCGTCCTCCTCTCCTCCTCCTCCTCGTCCTCCTTGTCATCCTTGTCGTCCTTGTCGTCCTCGTCGTCCTCGTCGTCCTCGTTGTCCTCGTTGTCCTTGCTCAACTGCGACCCGCGATCCACAGTGTTCTCTGCCGGACCTCAACCACGACCACCCACGCCCAGTGTTCCCTGCCGGACCTCAACCACGACCATCCACGCCCAGTGTTCCCTGCCGGACCTCAACCGCGAGTATCCACGCCCAGTGTTCCCTGCCAGACCTCAACCGCGAGTATCCGGGCCCAGTGTTCCCTGCCGGACCTCAACCGCGAGCATCCACGCCCAGTGTTCCCTGCCGGACCTCAACCGCGAGGATCCATGCCAAGTGTTCCCTGCCGGACCTCATGTAGGAAGATATGGGACAAAGAATGTGCAGAAGAAGGTTAGAAAGAATGTCAGAAGATATGCCAGAAGATATGCCAGATAGAATGCCAAATAGAATGCCAGATAGAATGCCAGAAGATATGTCAGAATATATGCCAGAAGATATGCCAGATAGAATGCCAGATAGAATGCCAGAAGATATGTCAGAGAGAATGCCAGAAGATATGCCAGATAGAATGCCAGAAGATTTGCCAGATAGAATGCCAGAAGATATGCCAGAAGATATGCCAGATCATATGCCAGAAGATATGCCAGATAGAATGCCAAATAGATTGTCAGAAGATATGTCAGATAGAATGCCAGAAGATATGTCAGATAGAATGCCAGAAGATATGTCAGAATATATGCCAGAAGATATGCCAGATAGAATGCCAGATTGAATGCCAGAAGATATGTCAGATAGAGTGCCAGAAGATATGCCAGATAGAATACCAGAAGATTTGCCAGATAGAATGCCAGAAAATATGCCAGAAAATGTGCCAGATCATATGCCAGAAGATATGCCAGATAGAATGCCAAATAGAATGTCAGAAGATATGTCAGATAGAATGCCAGAAGATTTGCCAGTAAGAAAATGTATAAATGTCATGGTGGGGATCACTTGAAGCAAAGTAATTATTTCTTTACATTTTTTTTAATCATCATTGTTATACTTAAGGTTTAAGTTGATCATTGAAAATTTCAAAAAAATACTTTACTTCGTGTGATCCCCACCATGACATTTATACATGTTCTTACTGGCACATCTTCTGGCATTCTATCTGACATATCTTCTGACATTCTATTTGGCATTCTATCTGGCATATCTTCTGGCATATCTTCTGGCATTCTATCTGACATATCTTCTGACATTCTTTTTGGCATTCTATCTGGCATATCTTCTGGCATTCTATCTGGCATATATTCTGACATATCTTCTGGCATATCTATCTGACATATCTTCTGGCATATATTCTGACATATCTTCTGGCATTCTATCTGACATATCTTCTGGCATATATTCTGACATATCTTCTGGCATATCTTCTGGCATATCTTCTGGCATATCTTCTGACATATCTATCTGGCACATTTTCTGGCATATTTTCTGGCATTCTATCTGGCATATCTTCTGGCATTCTATCTGGCAAATCTTCTGGCATTCTATCTGGCATATCTTCTGGCATTCTATCTGATATATCTTCTGGCATTCTATCTGGCATTCTATCTGGCATATCTTCTGGCATATATTCTGACATATCTTCTGGCATTCTATCTGGCATTCTATCTGGCATTCTATCTGGCATTCTATCTGGCATATATTCTGACATATCTTCTGGCATATCTATCTGGCATATTTTCTGGCATATTTTCTGGCATTCTACCTGGCAAATCTTCTGGCACTCTATCTGACATTTTATCTTCCTACATGAGGTCCGGCAGGGAACACTGGGCGTGGATGGTCGTGGTTGAGGTCCGGCAGGGAACACTGGGCGAGGATGGTCGTGGTTGAGGTCCGGCAGGGAACATTAGGCGTGGATGGTCGTGTTTGAGGTCCGGCAGGGAACACTGGGCGTGGATGGTCGTGGTTGAGGTCCGGCAGAGAACACTGTGGATCGCGGGTCGCAGTTGGACGAGGACGACGAGGACGACGAGGACGACGAGGACGACAAGGAGGACGAGGAGGAGGAGGAGAGGAGGACGAGGCAGGAGGAGGCGGAGGAGGAGGAGCAGGAGGAGGAGGAGGAGGCAACTGACATAAAATCTAACAACCCTCACCTGGCAGGTGGGGAACAACTATTCCCCAAATGACCGATTTCTAATTAAAAACTTTATAAAAATCATCAGTTTGGATAGCTCCCAAAGGGTACCCCCCATGAGCCCATGTCCCCCATTAATAATAACCAGGGTTTGCCCCTGATTATTCAACCACCTTTCTGAACCACGAGATTTTGACAAATCCAATAGAATTCTATTAAGATCTAATTGACTCAAGCCATATCCAAATTTTTATGGTTCAGAGTTGCTTATTATTACGGGGGGGTTTAAGAAACTGACCTACAAGGTAGAGTTCTGACCTTCTGGGGGGGGTTGATTAATCCGATGTTGGCATTACTGGGGATATGGGGAGATATTATGGTATTTTTTTGTGGTAAAAATGTTGATATTCAACTACCTGGATTTAACCAAGAAGAATGGTGCTTCAACCAACGAGATTGTTGGTATGGGGATATAAAACAAGATGATATAATGGGATACCCGTGGGAATATGTCTGGATAAGCTAGGGCTAGAGCAACACTGATCTCATTGCGACCTCATTCGAATGATGGTTGATGGGTAGCTTGAACTATCAGCTATGGGTGTGCAACCAAACAAATACTTTACTTCGAGTGATCCCCACCCCGACATATTATTCTGACATTATATCTGGCATATACTCTGACGTTCTATCTGGCATTCTATCTCACAGTCTTTTTGATATTCTATCTGGCATTATCTGGCATCTATTCTGACATTCTATGACATTCTATTTGGTATTCTATCTTGCATCTATTCTCACATTCTATCTGGGAGTCTTTCTGGCATTCTACCTGACAGTTCAGGTCCAGGCATGCCCCATATCCGGAGCTGGCGATATGGTAATTGTGTCCAGGCACAGCATTTGGAGCTGGCAGAAGCGAGAAGGAGGAGTTGTACCTTTGTTATCTAGAGACCCTCACCTGGCAGGCACTGGCAGGTGGAGAAATAATAGGAATAAACAATCAAAATTCAGGGGAAACCGACAAGCGAAGGAAACTGCAATGCAAATTATATGGGGATATTTACTGACCAGCCAGTTGTTTCTTTCGCAGCGCGTCTACGATTGGAACTGATATGGTTACCCGAAACCAGAAATTGTTAATTAACTATCAAATCTGGGTTATTTATTTTATTGTTTGGAACACAATAAGCATCGTGTACAATAGCATGAATTTATACATTGCGTGTTTTTCGAAATGGGGGATACCGTAAAACGGATCAACATGGTGGAAAATGATGTTTCAATCTTTGAATTTTTTTTTCGGATTTTGAAACAAACCCTGCCGATACATGAATGTCTCATAGTTTGGGGTGAATGTGAGAAAATGTACGTATATAATCGTATAATATAATTAAATCTATGCAATGCATGGGTTGGTTCAAAGGGAACATTCGCAAGACATCCGTTCCAAGAGCCAACTATGGGTTTCCTTGTGACATCTCTTGGTTGTGACATTTCTTGGGACGGGATCACTGTGAATTTGGTGAGAAGGAAATCTGGCTGACTGCTGCTTCTTGACAAGAAAATGATCCGCAAATGATGATTTTACATGTTGATATAGTATGACATAGTCTCTTCCAATTGTAGAGATCGTATATAGGTGTCTTATCACTACAAGAGGGTTCTACCTAATCATGAGTTGGTTGGTTCGATATTATATCTACCACAAATCAGCATTAATCAACTTAGCTATGCACCAAGTTAATTAGCTATGCAACTGGTGCAGCACCTCGGATGGGTGTTTCGAATTGTTGGGCATGCTCGCAATTTTCGGTTTGACTGTGCTGCTGGTACCCAACTGCATCACCATATTCAAGCTTCAAAGGAATTTGAATCAGGGTGCCTCAATTTTGGAAGTTGGAGCTGTGTTCAGTATTGCACCCGCAAACCAGGAGCAGGAACTCCCCGCCGCCGAGGTCAGGGAAGAATTCAGGGGGCCACAGATGGTCTCTATGTCACTATGCTGCGAATTCACGGAAGGTCTCTCACTGAGATGTCAACCGTTTTTTCTAAGATTTCATGGTGGCAACTGCTGTCGCCCACGGATACGATGCCACAACGGCGGCCGGTGGAACGTGGAAAGGAGCGCGACCTCAGGTTTGAAGGGTTGAAAGACGTTGAAACATTTTGTTTTTGTCACCTTTTTGGGGAGTTTCTGGGCGAACATGAGGGAAACCTCCTGAGAAAATTTTGCTGGTGTTGTGTTGGTTTCGCAGCTTTTGCAGGGCATTCCATTCCATTCCACAGTTTTAGCAAGGCACATTGTGAAGCCTTTGTCCAAATGATTGACTTCCAAGCTGTCTTGTTGGCTATTTCAATCAATCTATAAATGCAGAGATATGGGGATATGTTAGAACCTCTATCAATTCTGCTGGATGTAGTGTGGTGTAGTGCAGTTGTAGTTGCAGTTGTAGCTGTAGCTGTAATGTAGTGTAATTAGTGTACAGTGTAGTGTAGTGTAGCGTAATGTCGTGTAGTGCTGTGTAGTGAAGTGCGGTAAAGTATAGTGTAGTCTAGTCTAAGCTAGCGTAGTTGCAGTTGTAGCGTAGTGCAGTGTAATTAGTGTAGTGTAGTGTAGCGTAGTGTAGTGTAGTGTAGTGTATCTGTAGCGCAGTGCAGTGTTATTTGTGTAGTGTAGTGTAATGTAGTGTAGTGTAGTGTAGTATGTGTAGCGTAGTGTAGCGTAGCGTAGCGTAGTGCACTGTAGCGTAGCGTAGCGTAGTGTAGTGCAGTATAGTGTAGTGTAGTGTAGTAGTGGAGTGGAGTGGAATGGAGTGGAGTGGAGTGGAGTGGAGTGGAGTGGAGTGTAGTGTGGTGTAGTGTAGTGTAGCGTAATGTAGTGGCAGTTGCAGTTGTAGTTGTAGTTGCGATTGCAGCTGCAGTTGTAGTTGTAGCTGTAGTGTAATGCAATGTAATCAGTGTAGTGTAGTGTTGTGTAATGTAGTGTGTTTGTAGTTGTAGTTGCATTTGTAGTTGTAGCATACTGCAGTGTAACTAGTGTAGTGTAGTGTAGTGTAGTTGTAATTTAGTTGTAGTTGGTAGTAGTTATTGTTGTAGTTGTTAGTGTAATTGGTGTAGTGTAGTGTAATTAGATGTTATCATATAGTGTAGTGTAGTGTTATTAGTGTAGTGTAATGTAGCGTAGTATATTTGTGTTTGTAGTTGTAGCAGTAGTGTAGTGTAGTGTATTGGTAGTTGTAGTTGTGGTAGTTGCAATTGTCTATCTATCTACCTAATCTATCAATCAATCAATCTATCTATCTACCTATCAATCTATCTACCTATCTATCTATCAATCTATCTATGTGTTTGTCTGCCTGCCTGTCTGTCTACCTACAAGCTTGAAAACGCAGCAATTCTGCGAGACTTCCTAAATTTTCGAAGTTGACAACATCAAAAACGAAGCAATTCTGCGAGACTTCCTAAATTTTCAAAGTTGACAACACCAAAAACGAGGCAATTCTGCGAGAATTCCTTCAAAAATGCAAAGTTGAGTGCAGAGCTGACGGCCTTTTACCAATGCGTTTAAAGTACTGCCCATACCAGGAAAAAGCGATGCCAGGTCATACGAAGTGCTGCACCTGTCATACAGATCTGATGCTCCAAAATGCAACCAATCTCCGGAAATCAGCGCCCTCACCTCCCAACATCTCTGATGAACATGTCTCTTGTACTGCACCTGCCACGGAAAATCTATCTTTGCAGATCCTCTTCAAATGTCCCAGGCTTGCCATCGTTTTTGGAAATGCCACAAAATCCTCATGTTTTGCTCACTTTTGACACGGTGCACAATCCCTTGCGCCTGCCACGCAAAACGACGCTTCAACATCCAAAAGTGGCGCGGGCATGTGGTTCTTTGTACATTTTGACTTCGAAATGTGCTTTGCGCCACAACGGAGTGCACTTTTTCGACATCTCAACTTCCAAAAGTGCTCCGAACCCGTCAGTTTCTTACACGTTTGACTTCGAAATGTGCTTCGCGCCGCAACGGCGTGCACTTTTTCGACATCTCAACTTCCAAAAGCGCCTCCAACGAGGTTTTTAACTTTTTCACTTGCAAATGTGCTTCGTACCACACGGCGTGCAATTTTACATCTCTCATCTGGCCAGCTGGCTCCGCACCCGCCGCTTTAGCGAGCCTACTTTTTGACCCTCCGGAGCCACAAATCACTGGAAAAGCACAGTGTTTCGCGACTTTCCTACCTTTTCGCGCACCTGGATCTTCTTTCTTCGGAGACTTTCTCAGACTTTCTCTTTTTGATCATTTTTCTTCTTCTCTTCTCTTCTCTGACTCTTCCCATCTCTGCTTTTCATCTGTCCATATTGTCGGAAGTTTGACTTCTATAAACTTCCTTCGATCACATTGTATCCATATTTCCCTTGTTTGGGGTAGATTGCATATACCACGTTTTGCCAGTATTTTCCATATAACTTATATAGATACTTCATCTTACGTGATGGACAAGGCCGCGATGTGCGCAACTTCTGCATGCTCGGTGCACAAAGATCTCGCTGTCCCATTGCCCAACGCCCCGACGCAAAGGCTCACCTGCCTGGTTGACGCATATCACCAGCAATTGATTGATGTGCGTTTTCATGGCTGATGGCTGATGAATTTTGATAAGTTCACTATTTCATGATATAATCAGATTTGATAAGTTTACATTCATGTTGCGTTTGGGCGCGCCAAGTGTAATTTCAGAGCAGCAACATATCACTGCGAGCCGAGAACGCTTACACTGTAAAGCTAAACGACGACCTACACTGTAGATGCGCCAAGTGAAAAAACGTTCATAAATCCTCGCGTGGCACCCAGTGCTACAGGGATGACCTCAGTGGATGCAGGGACTTGCTGAAGGATGCTGAAGGATCCAAGGCACCGAAGCACCTGTTGAAAACAGTGGTGAACATTCCATTACTCCATGATTTATAGGCTTGAAAAATCATCCCGGGTGATGCAGGAGTTCTACCTTGATGGCAGATCATCGGCCCAGAATACATGCGAAAAAACCAGGGTTTTAGCAATGCATCTCCAAAATCGGACTGCCATCGAAATTTAGATAGATGAGTTTATTTAGGAACCATAGGTGTTGTTTCCTCTTTCTCTCTCTATGACTCTATATACATACATATATAATAGTTGAAGATAATGATCAAGTAGTGTTATTATTATAGGTTTTAATCCCTCTTGTGGCATGGGGTTTGCTCTACACTACAGCAAACATCTATACATGAGCCGACGCTGTGATGTTTGTCCCTGCAGACACGGAGCACATCTAGCTCGGGGCGACTCGTCCACGAGTTGCACATACCCAAACACGTTGCTTGCGGACACCCCTTTCAAACGAATATGTCCCAGAAACATGGGTATGCAGAGTGTCAAAAAAACACTGTTGGTTGATGATTGGTTGAGGTTTTATATGAATTGCCCTCCTGTCATGGGAATTGGAAATCCTGTATAAATATAGGTTTTAATATGGGAACATCACCGATAAATGATGGAATTTTCTACTGCCACTGTTTATAACCGGAAGGTATCCCTTGATGGGGATGAACATGATCCGTGCACTGCGGATCCCGACCAAGCCTACCAAGCGTCATAAGGAATTGTCCGAGTTTGACAATATCTCAACATCATGTCAAATTAAAAGCCGCCAATTTGACACTATCCCAACTATTGAAACGGTTCTTTGTTGGCTTAAGATGCTTAAGTATGCTTAAGTCACAATTTTGAACCCCAACAAAGAACCGTTTCACACAGTGAAGTTGGGATTCCCCCCGAGAGACTCCTTCATACGCTCAATAGTTATCGCACACTGAGTTTGGAGTTGCGCAAGAAAGATCAACACCTATTGGATACAAGATCCAAGAACTGTGTAAATTATAGTGACATCACTACATGATGACTGTACATGATGATGAACTAGTATAGGTTCCTCAAAAAATACATGTTTCCTGTTGTTTTTGCAAATTTCAAATATTTCATATAATCACAAACATATGAAGAGATATAATCATTATAAATTATATTATGATAACCAACATGGGAAAGGGATTACTAGTATATTATAACTTATAACCATCATCATAACTGGTTGGTGGTTTGGCACATGATTTTTTTCCATATATTGGGAATTTCATCATCCCAACTGACTTCATATGTTTCAGAGGGGTAGGTATACCTCCAACCAGTTAATTACCAATCCATGGTTCACCCCTGTGTGGAAGTTTAAAAAAAAAACAGAGGTATAACTGGACAAGCTCCTGGCCGCTAGAAAGAACTATGGTTATCATGGTTATGATATAATAGATTATAATAGTAATCATAACTGGACTAATCCTAAGTATAACTGTTCCTAATCCTAACTGGGGTGAAGCAAAAATCCCGGCATTCGCTGAAGATTCCGAAGATTCCTGGCCCACCGTTCCAACACGTCTCGCAAGCACATTCCAAGTGAAGGAGCTGGGCCCAACTGCGCCCAACACGGGGGCCGCTTTTGAAAAGTACAATCGATCGCACAACGGGGCCGAACAAAAACGCAACAGAAAGGGTGGGAAGGTTTCTGGGATGATGAACAAATATTGAAACATCGAGAAAACTCTGGGTCGGGCATTTGGGTTGATTTTTGGAATGAACCATATAGAATTGGTGTTTTTGCATTTTAAGTTCCTCATTGCCATATTTAAATAGAGGAGCAACGGAATATTTGCTTGAGACTAAAATCTGTGATTTTACTGTCATTAGAGACTTGAAGCCACAACGCTCAGGAGTTTCTATTGGACCTAAAATCACGGTATCATGAAAAGAACCACACCCACTTGGGGGGCAAAGCCTAAATGATACCATTTTGTATTTTGATGTATCATGATCATGAATTATCAATATGTCGTTCTATCTATTTAGCAATGCATCTAGCTATCTACCTACCTTTCAACCTATCTATCTATCTATTTGTCTGTCTTTCTATCTACTATCTATATTTCTATTGATCAAATCTAATCTCAATCTAATTCGAATCTAAATCAAATCTAAATCTGATCTAAATCAAATCTAGATCAAATCTAAATCAAATCTAAATCTAATCTAAATCAAATCTAAATCAAACCCAAATCTAATCTAAATCTAATATAATCTAATCTACTCCATTCTATCTCTCTATCTCTCTATCATTCTATCTCTCTATCTCTCTTTCTCTTTCTCCCTATGTCTCTATCTATCTATCCATCTATCTACCTACTTACCTATTTGTCAGCCATTTGGGTGTTAGCCACATGTACCAGACTGGACACCCACATTGTACTCGGATCCATGCGTTGGCGCTTTGTGCTCAATCCGGAGACGTTCCTTGAGATTCAGAAATCACAGGCGCGCATCTGCTTGTTTTGAAATGACTGGCGCTCCAGATTTTTGCAGATTTTTGTTGGTCAATTGTGTCAATTGTGTCAATTGTCCGACTCCTGTGTTTTTTGTTGATTCTTTCAAAACAAGCGTGTTGCCGATAGCCTTGACTGGGTGAGAATTGTGGCTGACCATTTACATCCATTTAGCAGGGCTGGGCGGGCACCCAAATACCTTGTCGCCCGGATGGCAAGTTTGCGGGTGCGAGCTTTACAATTCACTACCCGCCGACAGGTGACAGTGTGAGTATTCCCTCAAAGCTGGAAATGTCAGATGCTCAGAACGTGAGTTGTATTGGGCTGGGCTGGGTGATTGATCCAAGAAAAAACCAGACTAAATCATAAAATCTGCATTTTGGCTGGTTGGTGGTTTCATTTGTTTAAAAAACGCACCAATATTTGGGAGGAGGATCCGCATTTTTGTTTGAGGGGTTGAAAACACAAACCGGAAAAATAGACCATACTCAATCTAAAGGTGGTGTCCCCTAGGTATACGATGCTTGATAAACCATATGAACTAGTTTGATACATCTACCACAAATCCAGCAGTTAACCGACTTGTTTGCACCAACTTAGCTATCTAAGGGGCAGCACCTGTAGATGTTGTCCTATTATATCCGCCTACTACATGTTTTTTTGGGTTAAATCACAATGTGTGTTGGTTAAATCATCATTTTGTTGGTTATATCACAACATCTACTTGTCAAAGCACCATGTGTTTCTTTGTTAAAGAGCAATTTTTGGTTAAATCATGTTGAATATCATGGTTTTCCTTGTAGCATTATTTGTTAAAAAAATGCCTGGATTTCATCGGTTTACGTCACAAAAGATGGACTTGCCAAGAGAGGGAATCTTCCTGGATCGTGCTTCGCCCAAGCCATCTTTTCCGTCTATGTGGGTGTGATTGTTGGAAAATGTTATGCTTGATAGGGAATATTGTGCGTAAATAATATAATATATATATATATATTATTATATATATATGTATATATATATATATCATGTCAATTATAGATTTAATTGTTAATTTCAAGACTATAAATAATGACTTTTTTAAACAAATAAATTTCCTAATCAACAACGGTTAATCGTTGGATTTGGCCCTGTGAATGGAATGGAATCTGAATGCCCAGCCAAGGCGATCATAAAAAAACTATGTGTTAGTACACATATATAGTATTCATATACAGTCAGTACATGATATGTCTTAAATACATATCATTATATACTGTAACATACTTACAACAACAAATATCATAGTATTTCAACCTATTTAACAATGTTATATCACATTGTAACATTGAATATGATATTTTTCATCCATACAACACACATATTAAATTCCCTTTAACAAAAAAAACAAAGATGTCGCACGGGTCGAGGCCCGACACCCTCACTTTGCCCTTTATTCCAAAAGGCGCCAGCCACCAGGCCCAGCTTTCACTCGACCGTCGTTGTTTTGGGACGACTGGGGATGGTTCCAAACATGTGCATATAAGGAATATATAAACCATGGGCAAATTATAGCAACCTCACGGCAACCACCCTGGAAATCATGGTTAGTAAGGGGAATCATCCCCAAATGGCCTCAATTCAGGTTAGTGAAATATTACATCTTACCCTATATATATAGGGTGAAGGCTGGGGGTTCCCTGGAAGCCAATTGCATTTTATTTGTATGGATATGGAAAATGTTGATTTTACACTGTGTTTTACAGTGTTTTATGTTTTTCTCTGAAAGTGTTCGATCAGCCAAAGTTTCAATGTCGGCGCGGATATACTTGACGTTTGTCCGTACAGAAAAATGATAAATTTACATCTTCCATGGATGGCCAAACATGCGTGCAACATTCTAACCATTGGAATTGCGGTTTCATGCATGTTTGGTCGTTTTGTTGATAACTAGAAAATGTCATAATTCACTGGAGAACCATGGACGAAATGAACATCACACACACCTTTTTCATTTCATCTTCACGTCCACAAAGGCTTTTTGAAGCAGTTGCTTGGAGCGAGAGCACCATTGGTCTTCTGCAACGTAACAACATCTTCAACGAAGCGACATCCTCAAGGTTTCCACAACTCTCAATCCAACGCACTCCACATGACGTTGTTACACCCCCCTCCACCACCCCCCACCACCCCCCACCACCCATCTCTATACCATAACGACGTTTATAGTAGAGGCTCAAGACTGAGGGTTTCTGGAAGCTCCGGGGAACCCCCAGCCTTGAGCCTATATATATATATACTATATACTACATAAATCATGGGAATATATATCCAAGAATTACTTCCAAACATGGGAAGCATTTAATTTTGCAAAGATGTGAATATATAAACAAAAATATTAGGGAGGATGGGATTTGCCTTTCAGGTCGAAGCTATCATATTTCATATTTGGTTCTTTAGATGATGAGACAGTCCACATCACTTGGAATGGTGAGGTAGTGCTCCGGCTCAAAAAAAAAAACATTGGGCCCCATGGCGGTTCCATGGCGGTTCAGATGAGACCAAACAATAAGCACCGCTTTAAAGCAGGCATTGTTTTTTAGAGGATTCTAGGAACACCAAAAAATGGTGAAAGCAGTGCTGGATTGACTGCATTACCCACACTGAAAAAAATAGAGACATTATGGTGAAATTTGCTACTTGACACTTGGCTTCTTGAAGCTTCTGAGAATCTAAGCTGACTGGCCGGAAAATTCTGCCTTTGTCTCCACTTCCAATCATTTCTATATGTCTACAGTATATGATATTCTCAGTAAAGCTGGGAGTTCCTAGGCAAACAACTCAAATTACCAGAGGGTAATACCAGCTGAATCGTCCCGTTGAAAGGATGGCTCCTTGAGAAATACAGGAGTAACCCCAAATGGAACAACACAGTGGAGGCATACACTTGAGCGTTCAGCTTTATTTTGAGCCTACAGGGGTCTACCATCTCCAATCCCAACTTTCTGTTGCAGGGAGCATTTAGCCCCTTTTATCTACGGGGAAAAAAACACATGGTTTCCTGCATGTGCTTCCTCCATGGAGTGAAATTTATGGTTTGATGCCTGTTGATGGTTGGTGATGTTTGATGAACATTGAACTTTGATGCATACCTGCGTACCGTATACCTATATGGGTTTGTTTGAAAACAGGATATGTACTCCTACAATACACTGATTAATCATATGTGTTCTTTTAAATTTTATATATTTGTTTGGTTTTCGGACAAACCCGAGCATCAGATTGTTGATTATACTATACATGCAGGTGTATCCCCATCACATCCCCTTGATATGTCCCGAGTATATCTGCATGGTCGTTGGTTGGGTACCCAATTTCCGTTTGGTCACGACCCGCAAAAGCCGAAATACACATTCAAATATACATGAAATCGAAATCCACTATGAAGATTCCGATTATTAAAATTACGACTCCCCAATATCAAGATCTCATGAACATCCACATTGAATCCACAGGTAAAGTATTCCTATTGAAGTATCCCCATTGATTAAGAATCCCATTGAAACTTGCCATCCTTCATATGGAGTAATTTCATATTCCCCATAGCTTGAATTCCTATTAAACAATCACATCCCTCTTGGAATCTACCATCTAGTTATTTACCAGTTTGCCATGGAAAATCACCATTTTTAATAGGTAAACCATCTATATAACGGTATAAATGGGTCATGTCCCATGGCAATGTTAAACAACCAGAGGGTACATCTTATACCCTGATGGTTGATTTACCACCTGCTGATATCAGCATTGAACATCATTTTGCCATGCGCCACCCCATAATCCTCATGAGATTTCCCCATACAGTGGAAGAAATCCTGCACCTATTGGTAGATGGCTTATCCCATTATAACCCCACTATTTACAATGGTTATACAATGGTTTATAGTTACCAATACTTATCAACTGGTGATTCGTTTATTTCGCAACCAATTTCACAGTAGCTATCCCCAACCCGAAACCCAACCACCGGGCCGTTGCCATGGCCGTTGCCACGGCTGTGCCAGGCGTTTAGTCCGGATGTGTCGCCTGCAGGGTCGAACATGTTGCTGAACAAACGATCGCGGTCCTTCCAGGGCTTCTCTCCTAGGTGAGGATGAGAAAATCCTCCATGGGGATTTGTTGGGATGGGAACATTAACATGTTTCATAGGATTTTTTGGGATATAGATTATAGATGGGAAAATCAACATGTTCATGGGGATATAGATGGGGATATAGTTAAAATGGGGATGGGAAAATCAACATCGAAAGGACACTCTTCACAGGTATGAAATGGGCAATATCAACGTGGCATATTAGATAAACATTAATAAACATGGAGATATAGACGGGAAAATCAAACATGGGATTTTGGGATGGGAAAATCAGTCGATCGAAAGGACTGACATGATTTTGATGTGATATAATATATATACATATATATATACATACATACATATATATATATATATGAGATGGGGATATCATGGGGATATAGATGGGAAAATCTTCATAGTTGACCAAACATTGGATTTTGAGATTTGATCATTGCGCAAGTTGTGTTGTTTTTTTGTTGATTTTCAGTAGCGATTCAATAGGGACATTACGAATGGGGATATATTTTTGGATTTACCTGACGAACGGCTCTGAGCCCATTTTAGAGATATATACCCTTTGGTAAACGTTTACATAACTATGGAAAATCACCATTTTCAATGGGTAAATCCACTATAAATGACCATTTTCAATAATCCCTTCCTCCTACTACTAAACGTCCCCCAAATACTAAAAACAGGCGTCCATCTCCAGTTTCAGAAAATTTTAGATTGGCCAATTGGACTTTTAATTGATCCCCTTTAGAAAACAATTTAAAAATCAAGCTACCATTTGTGGGTTTCCCCCCTAGTACTAAAAACTAGTCAACCCCGGGGTGTTTATTATTAGGGTCCGTCCGATTGTTTTTAGTTTTTTATTTTAGCGCTTTTAATTTAGTATTAGGGGGAAGCTTCGAAATCCAATTTTTGGCAATATTTTAATTGCGTTATATAAAGAAATTTAATTGATTTTGAGATCGGAAAAACATGTTTTTATGATTAAAGGTTTAATTTTATTAATAGGGTTCCCTAATAATAAATACCCCCCTAATACTAAAAACTACCTGCCGTGTTTATTAATAGGGGGGAGGGGGGGACGTTTAGTATTAGGAGGAAGGGATTAGCTATGTTAAATTACCAGAGGGTAGATGGATGATGGTTTGAATATGAATTGAGGATATAATGCCATGGTCAAACGATGAATTGTCTGCCCAGATTGGTGATGCTCATCAATCCATGAATAGGGATCTCTGTAGCCACTATAAGGATTGGGATGTGTGACCCTAAACCACACGCCATGTTTTGACCATGGCACATACAGAGATGTTGATTTGCCCAACAAACATGGGCATGAAATGAGTAAATATGGGGAAATAGCATGGGGAAACAAATATGTATATGTCCAATGATGATTTCGTTGGTTCCGTTTATATGTCTGATTTTTCAACCATGGTATGATTTGTGACCAATTCGCATATGTTTCACCACCAACCAGTTGAACCAGTTGGCGTATGCGGGTTTTGGAACAACGATATCTGTCGGAGATGGGCCATAACTATGACCATTTCAACGGTTTTCAATTGGGAAAATGATACGATGACGTACCTATTTGATCTATTTGTAGAGAAGTTCATTAGTATTCCCAGAATTTCCCAGTATAATACAAATTTGAAGAACCATTCTTACCATTAAGTTATGTCTATATAATTATAATATATTATAATTACATATTCTTTGATATTTTATCCAATATATAGCCGCTATATCCATACTAATCAGTTAAATAAATATATCAGTGGGAATTTCAAGACCGTATAATTGAGGTACTGTACCATATGTTTGGCCTATTTTGTGGGGAGATTCCCTTACATAGCCCTGAAAGACAGGCCAGGAAAATTTACGAATTTCAGATTCCTTTTTAGTAGCGATGAAATGATTGTTTATATATTTATACTTATTATTCAATGTTTATCCATGTTTATTAGCATGTTTATATTGATGATATACGTATTAAAATAAGTATGAAAATATAGGCAATATAAGTCTTGTCATTATAATCTATAAACATTGTATACAAGTATTAAAAATGTATTTTAATAAGTATACATTAAATATAAGTACACATTGAGTATTCAATGTTATAATAATTATTATCCAATGGCTGGCCCACTCGGCCCTCGGCATCCCGGATCATCCGATTTTTTTTTCCCACAGGCACGACAGCAAAGATCCTTCTCCTTCGAAGGTGGCGCCGAAACTCGACGCGCCCCGTGGTTCGTCGATGTTTTTTCCGGAACGGATCCCATCCCAAGGATAGGAATGGAATAGGCTAATGATGATGAATCATGATGAATTGCAAAAAAAACATGCAACAAATCATGATGAATCATTTGGTTGGTGGTTTGGAACCACGGATTTTTTTGACTTTCCCATCATATTGGGAATGTCATCATCCCAAGTGACTCCATCATCTTTTTCGGAGGGGTAGGGCTCAACCACCAACCAGTGATCCAAGATGGCAATGGTTTGCCAACCTCCATGGCGCCAACGGGGATGTTCCAGCTAACCAAACATTAATGAAGGTGTTGAATTTGCAATGATTATTGAGAATGGTTAACTGGTAGTTAATCTCATCCATTTCTTTTTCTCTCAAGTATGTTTTGAAATACTGTAAATTGAATTTCACGTGTTTTTTCTCTTACAAAGTCATGGTTTCCATGGTTTCCATGGTTTCGGGGTGTGTCAAAACATATGAAAGGAAGAGATAAAAAAAAAACACCGGGATGCAGAGTTCACCGTTGAGGATGATTAGTGATTAGGGATTCCAGCATCAGCCGCGATTTGACCAGCGAAAAATTGGGGATTTTACCGATGGGTGGATGACTAGCAGATGACACCCGCAGCCAGGGGGAGAACAAGAACTTTCCAGCCGATGCTGGATGAATTGGGCATCACTTGACGATGTTTTTTTGGGGATGGCGCTAGCGCCAAGCAAAATCCATGGATTTCATGATGTTTTTCTCCAATTGACGTGCAGGATGGGCCCCCCAAGATAGCTATAGGTTGCCTTATGAGTGGTAAAAAACTATGGTTTATGGTAGATATGCTATAACTATAGTATCGTGGGTTTATACATCAACTTGTAACTGGGGGGCACCATCCTGTGTGCTCGCTGACTGGACTCGTGGCTGTTCGTATTGCTGCGATGAGACTGGCAGGAAGGGCGAACAGAAGCAGAAGGAAGAACATCCAGTTCAGCGCAGGAGTTGGTTTTGTGAAGGTTCCACCGTGGTACATCCTATCCATGACAGTTTGCAAGGGGATATTCCGCAGAAAAGATGGCATGGAACTATGGAACCCCATATATATATATATATATATATACACATCATAATTACATATAGAATCATATATATATATAATTATATATATATACATCATAGCTACATATAAATATACACATACATATATCCTACGGTAATCAAACATGGCAAGAGAAAATCCACCATTCAGTTCGATGATCTTCCCAGCTATAAACCTTCGTTTCGCTAAGAGATTTCCCAGCTAACCACGTTTGATTTTCCACCGGAGGGTAACATGGATTATCATCTGGTTGGTGGTTTCAATCATTTTTTATTTTCCATAATATATAGGATAGTCCTTCCCATTGACTTTCATATTTTTCAGAGGGGTAGGTGTACCACCAACCAGTCATGGATTACTTGTGTATTGAAATCCCTTCCTACGATTGTTGGTGTGTATATACATATATATATATATATCTCCCCATCAGTTGGGGTTGTTTGGGGTCCCTGCAATTCCCTGGATGTCGTTGCCTGCTTGAGCCCCCAAGTTTGTCCTTTGGACTTTGAACCAACATAACCATAAGTAAATTAGCTAATGACTGTACATATTTATGTAGATAGATATACAGACATATACCCTCTGGTAATTTAAGTCACAGTTTGCTATTGAATATGGCCGATTTAGTTCGTTTTTTTCCCCCCATGAATAGCATGATGATTTCCCGTAGTTATGTAAACGTTTACCAGAGATATATCCTTGGGGCCCTCCCAGTGGGTGCCATCCCCATCGGATGCTGTTACAAGCCCCATCAGTGCCCTGTTGAGGACAACTCTCCATTGGGAGACGCCTTGCGTCCCTTGGCGTTTCAACGGAGGAAAGGTTGCGGGAGCAACCATAACAGGGGATATCAATGATGGAAAATGGTCATTTTATGCAGCAATTTGTGGGGTAACATCAACTAAAACGGGATAAGGATGGATAAGGGGGATATGACCAACAATATGATATAGTATCTTTGGGACTTTCAGCAGGGAAGAGTTCTGGTGATGATTTGCCATATATGGAAATCAGGGATTTAACGAAAAACATAGGTATATAATGGGAACATAAGAAGGGGATATAGAACCAACAAAATGACATGTTAGTTTAATTGAACATTGTGTATACCTCCAAACCTCAGCAAGAGGGAAACTGATAATTCAATGGATTGGTTTAGGGATTTTTTTACAGGAAAAAACCATATTTAATGGTAAAAACCATGGTTTCCTGTGAATTTTCCCTTAAACCAATCCATTGAATTATACGTGTTCATAAACCATCAAAAATTGGGGTACTGTCTATTTCCGACAAAATTCGCATGAGTCAAATGAGTCAAAGGTTCGACAAAATTTCTTGTTTGTATATAGCCAAGTGAGATTTGGATGGTCAAAGTCAAACCTTGCCCTTATCACTCTTGATGGGTCACGAAAATGGACGGATGAACAGGTTTAGTATGAGAACTGGGTAGATTTTGGAGGTCATTGACCTTGCTTTCGACCCATACTACTTGTACCAATATGTTTGCTCCAGTTGCTGAATGCTGTGGTGTTTTTTTCCTCCCATCCACAGTATAAAAATATACATATCCCCGCATGCTCAGCCTTAGACATTGAAGGAGTTTGAAACCAATGCTTTATCCCCAATCCCTCCTGGTCTTTCTGTTCTTGACTATATAATTCATGTAAAGAAAAAGTCAAACAACTGTCAAATAGACAGCATGTTTTTTGGTATGTACCATTACCCTCTGGTAAACTAACATAACTATGGATAATTACCATGTTTAATGGGGAAATTCACTATAAATGGCCATTTTCAATAGCAAACTGTTAAATTGCCAGAGAGTAAATTACTCATATCTCTGGGATCATCCGTGGACCCAAGTCAACCAGTCATGCAAAGTCGGTGCATTCAGAAAAGTTTGAGGCAAAAACAGTAACAAAAGAAAGTCCCCATCAGCATGGTATATATAGGGAAACTAGCTATCTATTCTATCTTTCGTCAAAGGGCCTCTCAAAAACCCCTTTGACGCATTGAACAATGCCCCGATTGTATATCCAGTCAAAGACGATACAGAAACAAAAACAACTTGGTATAAAGAATTATAAAGACCTTTATTTTCTTATAGGTGGATTTCTCAAAGCCGGTGATACCCAAAGCCATCCAGCTTGCCATTGGCTTCCCTCATGATGACAATTTTGGATTATCTTGAAATTTATACATGTGGTATATACTAATGTGGTAAAGCCAACAATTTTTACCATCCCCAAGATCACCATAGATGGGTTAAAGTATTGTCAAATGGTAGATTTGTAGAGGCATATGTAGCTTTATGGCATATATATATATTATTGTTTCCAATATCTGGATGATGTATAGGTATGTATATATATATTTATTTAATAATATTACAGTATATATTATACTCTCTGCGCATCATTCCCAAGGACGGGCTCGTCGCGCGCGGGCCTTCGGCAGTTCCATGGCCTTCGGTGTGGCAGTGCTGGGGGAGTGCAGGTGGGGTGAAATAAGAAAAACAGTAGAAGAATTAGTAGTGGTATAGTAGTAATGATAGTAGTAATAATAGTAATAATAGTAGTCTGATTGATGGTTTGGAACATTTTTCATGTTTTCCATCTATTGGGAATAAGAATCCCAACTGGCTTTCATATTTTTCGGAGGGGTAGGTATACCACCAACCAGTAGTAATGCTAATAATGATAGTAAAATTTCATAGCAGTGGTATTCTAAATGATAATAGTAGTATTCAAAATCTAATAATAGCAGTAATGCTATTTAATATTGCATAATAATGCTCATAATAGATCATAATAGTAAATAGGGATGATACTAGTAATGATACTAGTAACATTTATGATGGTGATAGTCCGCGCAATATTGATAAACATGATAATGTTAATAAAACAGCAATAATAGTCGTAGCAATGATTCTAATTCCTGATAATATCACCAACATCAGCTGGTTATATAATTAGTCGGTAATCAAACGTAGCTGGCTGGCAAAATCCCGAACTAAACGGAAATCCATCATGTGCACTGACAGATCAGTCTTGCAGTTTGCAGGTCCATTGGTAGGTTTGTGCTGCACCATTTTCACTTGACGATGCTGAAGATGTCAGAATTGATGGGAGGACAGACCCAGATTATTTATGCGATACATCCTGTCAGAACATGGACCTATCCTGAAAAAGGAGCTGCATGTACACTGTCAACAAGTTGGCAATGGTTGCAGGTTGAACGAGAAAACAACCCTACCAGGCTTCTGTTTTTGAAGTGGTTTAAACATGTTTAAAAGGGATTTTTTCTGGTAAGGTGATGTCCCTACATCCAAGCTAGACAAGCTCGAGACCTTTGAGGCGTCTCGCTGCGATTGGGATGCTGCCGCGTCTCGTGCCTTTTTTTTTGGGCTTTTTGATGTCTAGGTGTCCTAGACACGGACATGAGTTGAACATGGTTGAACAATGTCAAAGATCAAGATCCAGGGAAGCTGTTCCAGTGGCTTTTAGGCGCCAAGGATCTAGCTTCAGGGGTGCCAAATCTTGTGCTACCCCGACATTGAAGAATCCACCGCTCATTTCGTCAAGTTGCGCTTCAAGACCCCGCCAGTTGGATAGCCATGAGTTAGCTATAAGTTAGTTTGTGGCCCCTTTGCTACCGCATTGTGTATCTTTTTGCCACAGCCGTTTTCACTGGCAAAATGGAATGACTATTTGAAGAATCCCAATGTCGACAAGTACAGCAAAACAAAACGCACCTGCTCCCGGTTCTACAGCCACAACATCCCATTTTGGCTGTTTCAAGATATCCGCATCATTGTTGGTGATATCATGCGACCTTATAATGAATTGGTGAATTTCCGTTGATCATTTATTGTTGCCCAAATCGCGATATTTGTCGCTTAAATCTTCATCGTTGTTAGTGAAAACTGTGTATTGTTTAGTTTCCCTTTTTTTCCCGGGTTTGATCCCACTGTTTGTTGGTTTAGTCTAGAACCTGCATTTGTTATCCCTTACATTAAACTTGTTCTTGTTTAAATCCACGTTGTTTCTTTGTTGAATGGATCGAAAGTCCCGTTATTCACGGGTGAACCCCCCCGTTTTTTCGTCACCTGCATATAGGATGAGGATGAGAACGGACTGGGGAGCCAGCTGCGTGGGGCAGACATGGCTTGGAAGGGGAATCCCTGCAGCATCGGTGAATAGGGGGATTTATAGCTATGAAACTACCATTCATTGGATTGGTTTAAGGAAAATAATACAGGAAACCCTCATATTTAATGGTAAAATTTATGGTTTCCTGTAGATGTTCCCTACCAATCCAATCAACCAGATGACCGGGGGAAGAACCATCCATTAACCACGTATCTTTAGGTGGCGTTTTGACTCATAGCCATAGAATGGTAGTTGAAAAAATGAGTAAACATGAGGTAAATAGATGTAAAGACACTTGGAACCATCCTGGAAACCCTCTTCCGCATCCATTCGGGGTTTACCGGGCGTTTACTATAATGCTTACCCATGGTTACCCTTCTAGAATCAAACATCTGGCTAAAGTACAACGACCTCACGTCTATGGGGAACTCACGGAACGGCCGGAGGGTGACGGAGGGGTATCCTGCTAGTTGGGAATGACGGGTACGGAATAATGTTGTTATCATGGTCAAGAGCTAGAAGATGGGATGAGATAGGTATATATGATCAATGCAGTTCCAGCCAGGTTCCATCAGAAGAGCGAAGGTCTTTGGTGGGGCACCTGGATTCTGATACCATGGGTATCTTGGTAAATTATAACGAACTCACTGCGACCTCACTGGAATCATGGTTAATAAGGGGAATCATCCCGTAATCATCCCAAAATGGCCTTATTTCAGGTTAGTGAATTACTATAATTTGCCCAGATGGGTCTCTGAGTTAGAGAGTCTACCATATCAGCATGACGGCTGGTATCACCACCAGGCTTGGCAAGGTTAGATCCATAGAAACCACGGCAAACTGTTCACTCGCCTTGCCTGGGCCCCAACAAAAGAAGCAAACCGTCTCAGGGTCTATGTTCAGAGCAGGAAAACCAATTTCGGGGTGTTAAAAGGGAACAACAAAAATTGGCCTGTGTGTTTTGTTTTGAAATACACAGGCATATTTGCTATTTCAAGACAGGATTTCCATGGATTTCCTCAGAAAAATGAGGTTCAGAGAGCGACACATGTGAGACCTTTCAGGCCAGGTTTTTATTCAGATTTGGTGGGTGAAGGTGAGTGGTTGGTTTATGGTTGGTTTATTGGTTTATGGTTGGTTAGCAGTTGATTGATGGTTGGCTAATGCAATTTCTGGGGAAAAAGTTGGCATAAATCACATAAATTATCAAAAATAAAACATCTGCTGTTCGAGTATAACTTAGGGTGATGAAGGCACGTATCTGCTGACCGCATTTATTGCAGGCTCATACAGATGATAATCAACTCCAAAGCTGTTGAGCACATTTCCGGTGTCCAATTTTCAGGTGTTTTTTTATAGATTATTGATATGTTGATGACATTTCTCAAAGGTTTGACAGTTACCAGTAGCCTCAATTTGTTTCTTCATTTTTTCTCGTTGGTTTCAGACTGTCGTTGATTCGCTCCAAGATGGAATGTCTTCCTTTTTTTAAGGGTTGCCCAACCACCAACCGCTTCTTGATTTCAGACCCTCTTTCAAACTGAAATTGACATGGGACGCCAGAAAACGGAGCTTTGTCTTAGCGGAAATTGCATGAAATTGCAATCAATATATGGATTCCATGTTTCTTTTTCAGGGATGCATCAATGGATTGTTTTAAGTGAAACAATGCACGAGACCCATGGGTTTTATCCCCAAATATAGTAGATTTTTGGGTGCCGTGGTTTCCGGCAGATTTTCTCGTCAAACCAATGACTGTAGCACTGCATGGCAGGCCGAAGAGGAGAATTCACCCATTGGAAGCAGCCTCCGCAGCACTGGCGAGCGAATTGCCAAAGGGTTCTTGTGATTCCCAGTGACTTGTGCAGATATGAATATCTGGTTGGTGGTTTGGATAGTGGATTTAACAGTTTGCTATTGAAAATGGCACATTTATAGTGGATTTTCCCATTAAACATGGTGATATTCCATAGTTCGTTTAACTGGTTGGTGGTTTGGAACCATGGAATTTTATGACGTTCCATTCAGTTGGGAATTTCATGATCCCAACTGACGAACTCCATCATTTTTCGGAGGGCTGGGTATACGACCAACCAGTGATATATATATATATATGTATATAGGTTGTAATGTGCTGCAATGACATGCCAGCAAACATAATTATATGATCTGTATTGATGTGTAAACTTTCATTTTGTCGAGAGATGATTGAAAACGAATGTTGCAAGACATTCCTGTGAAATCCATCACCAGAATGTTTGTGTCGCCAGGTGCTATTCAAAGAGCTCGAGCCTTCGGTGCGGGGACCTGGCAGTTTGGTACTTTGGGAACTAGTATCATCTAGTAACGAACTGGTTGGTAGTTTGGAACATGAATTTTATGATTTTCCATAATATATGGAATAATAATCCCAACTGACTACTATTTTTCAAGATGGTTAAAACCACCAACCAGATCTAGTAACTAAAAGTAGGAAGTTTTAGGATCAAACCTTGTCAAACCTATTCCGGTCATTCAAGCTGGGGTGGTTGATTTGCATTTCATGCTAGACCAAGTTTCATTAAGCAGCGACATGTTCAAGGCGACGTATCTGCAGTTCGAGCACAGTTTGATGGGGACAACTTTGAGGCGTTTGGTCGGGTGAAACTGATGCTTTTTGTTGGGTCGACAAGTTTGCAATTTCCATCAGTCCTGCCAGGCCGAAGAGGAGAATTCACCCATTGGAAGCAGCCTCCGCAGCACTGGCAGGATTGGTTGGCTTCAGACCTCTGAAGACTTTTGAACATCAAGCAATTCTGAACTGTGCATTTTGAGGCTGATCAAGCCAGACTGCAGAGTAGTTGAAGCTAAGCAATGAGATTCATTCAGCTTCGATATGGCATCTCTTGATTTCCAGTGCATCGCAACATATCTCAACTCGCATCTCAAGTCGCATCAATGCCAAAAATCAGAAATCCAGAAGATCTGTCCAGCCAGGTGCTATTAGAAGAGCTCGAGCTTTTGGTGCGCAGACATTTTTGCAGACATTTTGCTATAGATAATCTGGACGCCGTATGTCAGTCATATGGGCTTGTCTGAAAATTGGATATACCATTGAAACATACCCAAATGGATCCAAATGGCCATTTCAATATAGGGAACATGATGATAAATCAGTGGAATTAGGGTACTGTACGCTATTTTTGGAATTATGTGGAATTAGGGTACTGCACTCTATTTTTGGATAGTTCTAGTTACAGAAAGATATTCCGAACTCCATGGATTAGCGTTTCCCTTTCATCGCCGCAAAAGTGTTTCAGGCGACGTAGCCGCAGTGCGAGCAAAGTTTGATGGCGAGGACTTTGAGGTCTTTTGAAAGTGGACAAGTTCAAACTTGTGCGTGTCCATTGTCATTTCAAATTAAATGTATTTCAGCACGTATCTGTTGCAAGATCAAGCAAAATGGGACTTCAGTAGATTGGAACAGATGAATGCAAAGGCTTTCTGTTTGGCTCATATTTCGATTGCACTGACCCTCCCATCATTCATTCATATCCGAGTTTTCCATAGTTTTCCAGGCTCTCGGTATGTTGGTATCACCCAACACCATGCTGCTAGGCTGAAGAGGAGAATTCACCCATTGGAAGCAGACTCCGCACCACCGGCATCGAGATTCAGCCTCACAAAAATTGTTGGTTTTGTTTGCACATGTTCCGCTTTTTGTTTGGTTGACATTGTGTGGCATTAAACAATCTGCCATGATTGCTTATCGATGAAGTTTGTCATTACATGTTCAAAATTGTCGGGCTGTCAAGAGGGAACGAGCTAGGACTAGCAGAAGCTGATTGTTCATACTCTCAAATGTACCGCACATATCCGTACATCACATGTCCATTTCAAAATGTCTTTTGGTCGCCGTTCAAACTTGCCGCAGTTTGGCCTTTTCGCCAGGTGCTATCAGAAGAGCTCAAGCTTACGGTAGGGCTCCCAGGCTCAAGCTGATCTTCCAGGCTCTTTCAAGAGGCTGGAAAGTTCAAATATATAAGCGACAGTGATCGACAGTGGATTTAGTACAGTTGAAACCCGAATAATGTGGGTAAAGCAATGCCATAAACCATCCCTCAGTCATTACGGTACCATTTTTATAGGTGGTATGTTCGGCAACTGTTCAACAACATGTTTCAATCAGACTGGATGATGATCCTCAATGACAATCAATGATGTTCATAATTTCTGATGGACTGTTGAAACCAGCAACCAGATATTATGGTTTTATAGGATATTCCCAAGATTTCCCAAGTGTTTTCCACACGGTGGCGACAAATGACGCTTCTCATTTGTGAAGAACATGTTTGAGGCAATGTAGCTGCAGTGCGAGCACAGTTTGATGGCGAGGACTTTGAGGTCTTTTTGTCGACCACCATTCATCACTGTCACTGTGATTGGACAAGTTCACATTTAAGCGTTTCCATTGTCAAATTAAATGTATTTCAGCACGTATCTGTTGCAAGATCAAGCAAAATGGGACTTCAGTAGATTGGAACAGATGAATGCAAAGGCTTTCTGTTTGGCTCACATTTCGATTGCACTGGCCCTCCCATCATTCATTCATATCCGAGTTTTCCATAGTTTTCCAGGCTCTCAGTATGTTGGTATCACCCAACACCATGCTGCTAGGCTGAAGAGGAGAATTCACCCATTGGAAGCAGACTCCGCACCACCGGCATCGAGATTCAGCCTAAACTCACTGGACTATGATGACTACTTGCGGATTAGGTTGAACTTGTGGGAATGTTTCACGCTTGAGATTGCAACAAACAATATGAAACATATTTGTCTATACTGTATTTACATGTATTTACAATATGTTTGTTGTTGCAGTGTTGGTTGTTCGATGGAATAACTGCCCACAAGTTATTTAAGCTTATTCCAACCCCACAGTTGCTATTGAACGTTTCTAAGTAGTTCCAAGTCTTCAAATTTGACATATACCGGTATTTTCAGGCGGTGCCACCTTGTTTTGCGCCTGATTTGGGAATGACGACTGAACGTATTTCCACCCCAAAACCAAAGATACTTGCAGTTGAAAGCCGTGGCTCCTTTGTTGCAGGTAATTGCATCAGTTCGCTGTATCACCTCCCAAGAATAATAGGATACTCACCAGTCATACATGGATTATGGAGGTTTCCCAGGGGATTTCCAAGTTACCATGGTTGTTTCAATACTCAGTCATGGTCTAATCACTTGGATGAGTTGAAATATTTGAAATCTACCCCTGTTTAAGGAAACCTTGATATGTGGCTTTGTCCCGAAACCCACGAGCTGTGGCAGGGGCCATCAGAAGGGCTCGAGCTTTTGGTGGGGCACCCAGCAGCTGGCTACATGGACCTTGCGACAGCGCCAAAGCGAGCTATAGTCATTGAACAAATAAAACTAATAATATTATCATATATCATATATCATAATATATATATATACAAATATAACAATCTAGTCACTATACAACATCATATATACTGATTTGAATGAGCCAATAGTAACCATATATAGTGACTAAAACCAGTATATATAGTGACTAAAACCATATATTAATATATCATAATATGATATAACTGTATATTAATCAATATTTCATTCAACATGTTGTTATATAAACATATTTGAATGGTGGAATCCACAATCTTCCATTTTTTCGAGCTAGCTCAAAACATGTAGCCGGCTCAATTTCATCAGGGGTATGTTTTGACAATCACCTTGGGCTTTTTCAGAGGTACCATATCTAGTACTAAAGTAATCAGTGGGAACTGAACCTGGCAATTTAACACATTGAGAAGTTTCTGCGAGCTCGCTCAACTCCAACGAGCTGGCTCAGCACCATCGAGCTCGCTCAAACACATCGCTCTAGCTCAGGGGCATCGAGCTAGCTCAATGGCATCGAGCTGGCTCAATTTTTTCAACGAAAAAAAAAGAAAAAAAAACGCCAAAAAAATTGAGCCAGCTACGTCACGTTGAGCTGGCGGACGAATGTGAGAGCATCAAAACGAATACTAACTATGTATTGGCCGGGTTCATGACGCATTGGCGAGCCGGCTCAAGGGCATGTAGCCGGCTCAATTTCTGCGAGTTTTTTTTTTCGCTAAAAAAATTGAGCCAGCTACGTGGCGCTGAGCCAGCTACGAGGCGCTGAGCCAGCTACGTGGCACTGAGCCAGCTACGTGGCACTGAGCCAGCTACGTGGCACTGAGTTTTCAAGGTAGCTTTGAGGTTTGAGCTAGCAAGGAGGCAGTGAGCCAGCAAGGTAGCTTTGAGCTTCATCATATATATATATATACCTATGCAATCCCAACCATATAATATACTAAGGGCAAAACAATTTTTTTTGAGGGAGACACGTACCTTTGAGCTGGAGCGGGAATGTGAAATCTACCATTCGACATATATAAACATGATATATATATATATATATGTAATTATATGTATAATATATCATTATATGTTTGTTTAATGATATATAATATAAATATAGTCCTTGGGTGATTTTTAAAACCATTCCTTCGTGCCAGGTGCACTGCCGGGTGCGCTAGAGGTGGCTGAGATCCCTGAGGTCCCCGCGTAAGGTGCGGCGCTGGGGGGCAGGGATTTCACCACGTTTAAACGTGGCAATTGAAGCATGGAAAATTGTGATTTATCCAGGGAACATTGTGATTTATCCAGGGAAAATGGATGAAACTTGTAATTTTCCAGCAGGGAAAATTGGGATCGAACATGATGAAACCCAGAAAAGCCATAGGATTTGAGCAGCAACTCTGTTGATCATCCATAATTAAGGAGATACCTACTAGCCAGTACAAGGATGAATT